ATCCTCCGAACACAGAATAACTCGTCTTGTTTTCCTAGGAATTAAGAAAATGCTGACATCATCCCCTGTACCGGGTTGTGTGAAGGGAGAAAGAACTCGGATCAGAGCAGCGTCCCGTGAAGCCTCGCCAAGAAGACGGGCCCACGTAGCAGATGCAAACTGGAACTGAACATTTCAAAAGGTGCTAAAATAAATCCAGAGAATTAGAGAAGCTGTGAAAGAACAGCCTACGTCAGAATTAGAAGAATTCTCAAGTGTGAAAAAATGAAAACTTACAAAACAAAGTTATGAGACTCGGGAAAGAATGTGCATGAAAGAAAATAGTTCAGGGGCTGGAGATCCCTCGGTGGGCGGGAGTTCATGCTCTGGAGGCAGGTACAACCCCGGCACCTCAGGGTCCACGGATCGCGGCTGGGCATGGCCCCCAACACAGAAAAATAAAGGGAGGTGGTGGTAATATTGCTCTAAGGACACAGCTATTATCTTTCATGTATGGTCAAATGACAGTCTAAAAAAAATATTCTGTGAGGCCAGGGATGGGGTTCAGTGGTAGAGCACTTGCCTATTAGGTATGAGCCCTGGTTTGATCCATAGCACCACACACACACACACACACACAAATCTTCTTGGACTCTATTGGCCTCCAGGACAGATAGAAGCAAACCTGCGTGTGCATATAAAACTGGGTGTTCTAAAACCTAGGTGGTGATGGGCTGGGGAGATGGTACAGCAGGGAGGGCCCTGCCTTGCATGTGATGAACTGGAGTCCATCCCAGCATCCCAGTAAAGAAGAAAAGAAAGAGAATCCATGTGGTGAGGTGAGAACAGAGGCAATCAATTGGGAAAAAAAAAAAAAAGACAGAAACAGCTAAAGCTATTATGGGTGGTGAGGCCCAATGTATGGATTAAAAAAAAAAGGAGGAATGGGGGGCAGAGTGATAGCACACCAGTGGCAGGGGGAACTGGGGGTGGTTGCTTGCTTTGAATGCGGCTGACCTAGATTTGATCCCTGGTACCCCAGATGGTCCCCTGAGTACCACTTGAGTGCAGAGCCAAGAATCCTGAGCACTATTGGATGTAACCCCCAAACCAAAAATAAATAAATAAGGAGGAATGGTAAGAGGGACAGGAAATATGAGAAGTGGAATACGCTGACAGGCTGGCGGGAGACACTGACCAAGTTCGAGAAAGGACTGGGACAGAGTGAACAGGGGAATAGCTTACTGGTGGTTTCGGTATTACTCAACACTAGGATGGTATCATCAGGGTTCTCTAGAGAAACAGAACCAATAGGATATATATAGCGACTGACACTTTTTGTTCTTAATTTTTGTTGTTGTTTATGTTGGGTCACACCCAGCAGAGCTCAGGGGTCTCCGGGGTGGTGGGTATCAAACCCTCAGCCCCCCAGGCAAAGCACACACACTCCAGCCAGCCCTTTGAACTATCACCCCCAACCCCGAGACAGATCTTTATTGGAAGATTCTTTTCAGGCTTTTGCTTCTCTTTAGGTCACATCTGGCAGTGCTGGGGGCTACTCCTGGCTCAGTGCTTACTGGATCTCTTCCAGCAGTACACGGTGGGGTGGCGGGGCGGGACGGGGGCATGCAAGGAATGCCTGGGTCACACTCAGCCTCCCACACAGTGCTCCCTCCCTGGTCTGTTGGGGAACGACTTATTCATTAAGGAGCAGGAAACCCTGACACTTGTTGGGAAGGCAGCAGGTTGACAGCTCAGGCAGGAGCTCCACGTGCAAGTCTTTGAGGCAGAACTCCTCACTTCTCTGGAAAACCCATTTTTGCTCTCCAGACCTGAATTCAGCTGACTCCATGCGGTTTGCCCACACTACGGGGAACAATCTGTTTCACTGACAGCCAGCTAGCTGTAAATGCGAGCCATCTGTAGAAAAATACCCTCCACATCAACTTCTAGACTAATATTGGCCCAGAAAACGGGGAGCCTTGGCCCAGACGCACTAACACATAATGTGAATCGGCAGGGCTGTGCGCGTTGCGGCATCCCTCACAACTGCCCCAATCCAGAGACGACCCAAGTATCCAGGAACAGATGGACGAAGAAAATGTGGGGCGTGTACACAGTGGAAGACGGCTCGGCTGTGAGGAAGGATGAAGTCACGCAGTTTGCTGCTGTGTGGATGGGTCTGGAGGGTGAAGCCGAGTGAGGTTAGTCGGAACGAGACAGATACGAAACGCCTGTCTCTCCTATGTGGGCTTTAAGCCGCACCGTAGGGGAATGACAGCTGTCCAAAGGCGGCGGAAACCGAGAACCCGTCTTGGGTTGGAAGCGGGACAAAGACGGAGGGCAGTGGACATCCTCGTGGAGGGTGTAGTGCTGGAATATTCTATATATGGAACCCTACCTTTAACAGTATTGTAAACTACAGTCCCCAAAATTTAAAAAACAATCATAAGAGGAGTGAGTATGGGGGGCGGGGAGATGGCTCACTGGACTAGTGCTCGGGCTTTGCATGACAGAGGTGTGGGTTCCCTCCCCAGCACCGCAGGGTCCTTGAAGCACCAAGCATGGTGCCCTGAGCAATGAACCAGGAGTAGCCCCTAAGGCACCAGGTGTGGCTTAAAAATGGCAAAGGGAAGAGGAACCTGTAGGCGGGGCAGGTGGTGGGTGCAGGGCCCTGGCACCACCTGGTCCCGCAAGCACCACTGGGCTGGACATTGTCAGAGCCAAGCAGCGAGCCACACAGCTGGTCCCAGTCCCACCAGGGGTGGCCTTCAGGCCCCTGGGCACTGCCTTGGAGGCCCCGAAAAGGTCAAGCCAAAGAAGACCAACTGAACTTCACACACTCACAGTTATGTATGTATTAAAAGGGTTTGTGTGTGTGTGTCTTTTTTTAATTTTTAATATTCTTTCCTTTTGTTTTTGAGTGTCAAGGTCCCATACATGTTTGAAAAAGAGACATGCCAGGGACTGGGCAGATAGTGCAGGGGATAACATGCTTGCTTTGCATGTGATTCAATCCTCAGCACCAACCACGGTTCCCTGAGCACCAGCAGGAGTGATGCCCTACGTGCAGAGCCGGGAGAGAGCCCTGAGCACCACTGGATATGGCCCAAACTCCCAAATTTAAAATGAAAGTCTCATTCAGGGGAAAAACAAAGCAACAAAAACCTAAAAGCAACAGCAGTAAAAACCTGGGGAATGCAGTATGCCAACGTTTGAGAGCAATGGCTACCTGCATTGGCATATATTGGTAAAGATTATCAAAGTGTTTGATAATCTTTGAGAGTTTGATCGTCTGTGTGTCCACCTTATAATCCTTATAAAAATACAATCAAGAGGGGTTCATTCCAGGAATGCAAGGGTGGTGTAATATTCATTGCACTGGGTGCTTCACTATTCAGTGCACAGTGGGAATGGCGTGGACCCTGCCCATCCAGGGTGAGTCCCTGGCATCCCATATGGTCCCCACTAGAAGTGATTCCTGAGCTAAGAGCCATGAGTAAGCCCTGAGCTTACTGCCGAGTGTGGCCCCAACTTCACCACCTGCCAAATAAAGCTCTGACCCTTACCGGGCCAAGCCTGGGGGCTGGGCAGGCGCTGGGGTCCTGGGCTAAGGTGGGGGACCCTGGGAAGATGCCACTCCTGTCTTGTGCAGGGTCCCGGGGGGGGGCACTCATCCTGTGACTGCAGGCCTCTGGGGAGCCAGTGACGCCTTGAATACTACTGACTTCGGGGAGACAGGAGTGGGTCAGTGAACCCTCCCCCGAGTCCGTATTGGGTGGGAGTGCGAGCCGCCCCCGCATGGCCCCGGCAGACAAATGTCTAGAGCGCCCCCAAGCCGCTGCTTTGCCCACTCCGCCATCTGCCTCCCGAGCCCACTGCCCAGCACGTCTCCGGGACAGCCCCTGTCCCTGTCACCATGCATCCTTGGGCTGACACAGGAGGCCTGGGTCGCCCCCAGGGAGGGATCTTGGCCTTCGGGCGGGTCTGGGTCGCTGACCTCTTGTGCTGCCACAGAGACTGGGGCCTGCTCCAGCTCCAGCCCACTCCCCTGTCTTCCAGCAAGAGCAGGAAACAGTTCGCCGGCACAGAGGACCCCAGGAGAAGCCACATCCGGCCTCCTCACCCAGGGCACGGAGACCTCAGCCCGGGCTACCACAGGGACAGAACACGCCAGGGAGCCCCCTCAAGCCTGGGGCAGGTTCTGCCAGCCTAGACCCACCCTCTGGCCCACGCTTGGGGACAGAGCCCCTCTGCATGCTCCCTGAGGATACCCACCTGCCCCCCACATGTCCCTAAGCAACTACACATGGTCACTGTTGCTCCATAAGGAGGGCCAGAGGCACAGGAAGGAATTCGCAGGATCAGGCCAGGAGGGACTGAATGAAGGAATGAATGAAAGGGAAAGAGAAAGCATGCAGGGAGAAGAAAGTGGGGGCAGAGGGGCCCCCAAGCACGCCTGCCTATGGGGCCTGAAATGGCCTGTCCCCCCTTTGACACGGACAGGGCCCTGACCCTGACATTCCAGGAAGCAGCTGCGGAGGAGAGGCGGCTTGCTGGAAGGGACCGTTTACTGAGGGCCCTGGGGTCAGGGGTCGGGGGCATCCCTACACCCCTCCCTGGTGGCTTCCTGGAAGTGAGTCGGGAAACTTTTGCCAGCGGGGGTCCCTCTTCACCGACCCCTTGGGGATGGGTGCCAGCTGGCGGGCGAGACTGACCAGCTCAGGCCTGGCTGATGATCCTTGTCCAGGCAGGCGCCTGGCCGCAGGTACACAGGTGAGCCTTGACCCGGGAGAGAGGCTGGACTCACACACGCCTCTGCTCTCCTCACAGTGCTGGACCCCAAGCCGGCCCTCCTGTGAGTGTCCACTGCTATGGACGGGGTCTCGGGGCAGCTTCTCTGCTGGAGCCCACAGTCTAATGTTCCCACACTGGCCAGCACACCCTCCCGTCCCCCACTGGCCAGCACACCCCTGCCACGGGAACTCAGCTGAGGGCTGCCGGCGCCCGCCGCCTCTTACCGTCCAATGTCCGAGCAGACCTTGGAATCTGCAGCAACAGCCGCGCGGGCAAAGGCCTGAGGACCACAGGGACTGCGGCGTCGGGAGAGGACCACGGCGGACACGATGACGGCGAGGGCCACCCCCAGCCCCAGCAGGACCGAGATGACCGTGGCCCTGCGGCCCGGGGCCATGGCTCCACAGCTGGGGAGGGGCGGGCAGGTGGGCGAGGGGGCAGGGGGAGGAAGGGCCGCGGCACAGACGGAGGGACTGGACAGGGGCGCGTCTGCAGCAGGACAGACAGACGGAGACGGCCGGGGACTGGCCGCGAAGCAGCCGTCCCCCAGTGCCCGCAGAAGCCGGCCCACGCCTGAACTTCCAGTTTTCAGCCCCTGCTCTTGGCCTGGCCCCTGGCCAGTGGTGGTGTTTGTGGGGAGTTTTTCCTCCCAGAGAGGAGAAAGGAGTGAGCTGCCGCCGTTAACCCTCACGCTGCTGTTCCCAGGCCTGCAGAGCAAGCCCTGCAGAACCCTGGCCCGCCAGCCCAGGGAACCAACTCGGTACTGGAAAGCTGGGTCCAGGGACTCAGGGTTCAGGGACTCAGGGTTCCCTGGTCCCCAGGCAGCCAGGAGGGAGGGGGCAGGGTGGAGGGAGGGGGTCAGGATGGAGGACGGGACAGGGCAGAGGAAGACATAGGGCAGAGGCAGGGAGTCAGGACAGAGGGAGGGGGTAGGACAGAGGGCGGGTGGGCGGGGGAGGGGTGTCTCCCCCACTGCAGCTGGGGCCCCAGCCAGGGCCTGTCTCAGGGGGTGCTGGGCTGTCCCCAGTAGCCACCTCTTCTCTGGGGCCAGGTGCCTGCCCCTCCGTCCTTGGCCTCAGGGTGCCAAGTGAGAGAGAATCGGGGTACAGGGACACAGAGGAGCACCCGCACCCTGGCCTCCTCGCTGGTTCTTCATCTCCTGGGGCCATACTGGGAGGGGCAGGCACAGCCGTTTCCTGTGGTGAGGGTGGCCCTGGGCACCCACTGCTGCCCTTCCCAGCGCCCCAGGCCACGGCGACTTTGCTCAATGCATTCCTGGCTCAGGTCCAGTCCCCCGCAGAAAGCAGGGAGCGCAGAGACAGTGTGGCGGGCAGGTGAGGCTGGCCCCCACGCCCAACTTTCCTGGTCAAGCAGGCCCAGGGCATCGCGCTGGCCCTGCTAGGATGGACCCTACTAACATGCCCTCAGCCTGGGAGGCCACGGGGAGGGCAGAGCTGGGGGATCCCCGGGGGCCCCACCTCTCTGGGCCAAGGCTGCAGCCTCCGGGCATCCTTCGTAAAAGGGGCCGTGGCCTTTTGCAGGGTGGGAAGAGGCCGTGTATGTCCCATTGGGCCCAGGGGGCTCAGGCATGCAGCCCCCCCCATCAGCACTTGGTTGTGTCACACAAGCCTGGGCTGGCTCCCCCACCCCCACCCCTGCCCGGTTCTGTCCGTCCCCAGGTCCCCAGAGAGGTCTGGCTGCAGCACCAGGGGCTCTGGGAGGGCAGGGGGCTGTCACCTGCTGGGCGAGCCCACGGTCTCCCTCTCCTCCAGTCCCCAGATGCCTCCTCCTTGGCCCCTGCCCCCGCTGACCCCGGGCTCCAGGGGCGACTCCAGAGCCCCCGCCCCTGAGACCCAGGCTCCCTCCCGGCCCCTGACAGCGTGGGCTTCACTCCCAGCTGGTGTCTGGAAAGCCCCCGGGGGCCTGGCTCCAACCAGCAGGCTTAGGTCCGGCCTCTTGTTCAGGCCCATCCTACATTCTTCAGCTTCGCCAGGATCCATCAGGATGAGCCTGGACATGAGCTGGGCAAAGCGGGTGCCCAGCTTCCTGGCGTTGGTGGACAAGCCAGCATTTCCCTCTGGGCAACGTTCCCCACGCCAATGCTAGGGCTGTGGTGCCCTCTAGTGGCCAACAGTGGGAATGGCCACTCTCTGTCCAGAGACAGGCCCCGGGGACAGAGGGGACCGTTGTGAGCCTCATGCCCACAAGCTGACATCCCCCCCCCCACACACAAAAAGCCCTGGTAGCTCTGGAGGTGAGAAGACCTCCCAGTTCACCTCTTCCGGTCAGCTTGCTCCGTCTCCTACACAGGATGCCGAGGCCAGTGAGTGAGTGGGCGGCCAGCCGGCAAGGCTGCTCTGAGCACCCCCTTTTATTGCACTGCTCTGCCCTGCCAAGGGGAAGGACGGCCTCCAAGGTCCCACTGCTGGGCTACCAGCCGGCCTGGCCCGTCGGAGTGCTCAGTAGCCCGCAGGTTCCCCGCCTTTCCTGGAGTCTGAGGCAGCTGCCCAGCCATCGGCTGTGTGGACAATGGCCTGCACCACACCGACGTAGGGGGACGCGTCCTTGGTGACGTGATTCCGGGCGTGCAGGCCTGTGACCACGACCTGCGGGGTGGGAGGGAGCGACGAGGGCCTCAGCAGGACACCCCCTGAACTGCCCCCCACCCTCATCGTGGCTTCCCAGGTGCAGCCAGTACCAGTGTCCAGGAAGACCACGTCGGAGGGGGGTGGGGGACATCATGGGGCCTTGTTCAGAGCAGGGGGCCTGGCCGCCACTGCTGGGGGACTCGAGATGGCCCAGGCAGAGGACCCCAGTCACCGCCCACCCTGTGCCACGTTGGGAGGTCTAGGTTTCCACACCCCAAGGGGCCCCGTGGCCCTGACTCAGTTTCCCACCGGGTCAATGTCTTTCTCCACTGTCGTGACGTTGGGGTAGAGCTGGTTGTGCACCCGGGGCTCCTCCACTGCCCGCTTCACGTCGTAGCCAAACCACAGATTGTTGATGATGGCCTGGGGGGCGCGGGGGGGGTGGTCAGAGAGGCCCCAGGCCAGGGCCAGGGAGGGGCGGGCAGGGGCAGGTGGGCGTGTTGGGCTGGCCATACCTGCGCAGTGGCTGTGGTGATGTGCGTGCCCCCAGAGGCGCCCACCACCATGCGGACGCGGCCATCCGGCCCCACGATGATAGCCGGGCACATGGACGAGAGCGGCTGCTTCCCTGTGACGAGGCGGACAGGGACAGAGGCCGGTCAGCTGTCTGCCCAGGACACCGCCGCCCCCTCTCCTCTTGAGCCCCCAGAACCACACCTGGCTGGATGAAGTTGATCTTTGAGGGGGGCACCCCGAAGTTGTTGGTGATGTTGGGGGAGCTGAAGTCGTCCATCTCATCATTGAACAGGATCCCGCTGATCCGGGATCGCACCTTGGAGCCAAACCTGCAGGGGTTGGGTCAGACCGTCGTGCCCGCCTGCCCCCGTCCTGCCCCTTCCAGCCTCAGCCCTGCCTTCCAATGGGGAGGGTCCCACCAAGGGGGGGGGGTATCCTCAGCTCTGGCCCTATGAGGGGTGGGTGGGTGGAGCCCCCTGGCCTGCCCCGCCACCCCCAGCCCGTACTGGAGGTTGATGGTGCTGGTGGCAGACACGGCGCTGCCGTCCTCGGAGACCACGGACAGGTGGGCAGTGCCGCCATCGTCTGGCGTGTAGAAGGCAGGCTCGTAGTATTCACTCGGGTGTGTGCTGGTGTCAGAGATGCGGGCCCGGAGTTGGTCAGCGAAGAACTCGGAGGTCATGTTGCGGATCACCTGCCGAGACCCCAGAGCTGGCCTGAGGGGGTGGAGGGGCGGGGAGGGGGCACAGGCTTGTGCGAGCAGTCATGGTTCTGACCACAACCCTCTGGTGCCTGGAACCTCATGGAGGTCGTCGGGCCCCTTTCTCCGGCCTCTGCGGGGGGCCGCCCACGTCCCCATCCTCGTCACACTCATTCGTTCCTCCTCGGAGCTGGTACTGCGTGTCCAGCACTGGGGCAAAAGCAGGGGCCAGACACGCAGGTCTCTGCCCTTGAGGCCAAGGTAGACAGGCTGGACAGGGCCCGCCGGGTGGGGATGGAGAGGATGCTGGGCTGGCGAGGAGGGGTCAGGAAGGCTTCTCAGAGGAGGCGCGCTCTGGGAGTGTCTGAACCCTAAGTGCAAAGGGCCTGAGGCAGCATCCTCAAGCGACAGAGAGAGGATTTCAGGAGTAAGATTGAGGGTGCGGAGGCCAGAAAGATAGCACAGTGGGAAGGCTCTGGCCTTGCTCTCGAGCGACTGGGTCTGGTCCCCAACACCCCATGTGGTCCTCAGGGTCCTGCCTGTTCTCTCTGAGCACAGAGCCCGGGCATCACCAGGTATGACCGAAAAAAAAAAAAAAAGAAGCAGGCAGACCTCTAGAGTAGGATGTACCGGGAAGCAGGATTGGGACCACGCCTGGCAGTGCTCAGGGCTTACTCCTGGCTCTGGCTCACGATCACTCCTGGGGGGCTCAAGGGACCATATGGGGTGCCAGGGATCGAACCTGGGAGAGCCTCGTGCAAAGCAAGCACCTTAACACTGCACTATCTCTCCAGCCCCTAGGAACCTTGCACGGACAGTGGCCCCTTCTGACTGTTTCCTTCCTGTGCCCCTGTCCTATGGATTGGTCCCTAGTCTTGTGCTGGGGGCTCCCCGCTCCACCGGTGGCTGCCTTGGGCTGTCCTGGACCCCCGCTGAGAAGTGCCACTCTAGACCTCATGAGCCCGAGTGTGTGGCTTTTGCTCTGAGCGACTCAGGCTTCGGAAGCAGCGGGGAGAGTGAGCGCCCCATGGGGGTACTCACGGGGTCCCTCTGGTGGCCCTGTGGGGGATACACAGAACCCATCTGAGGCGTATGATGTGAGACAACGGGAGAGAGAACGGGAAGGGGCGGCCAGCCCAAAGCCTTCAGCCAGAGTGGGAGGCAAATGTGGGGTGGGGTGAGTGGGAGCTTGAGGTTGGACAGGTGCCCACTGGACAATGAAGAGGCTGTCTCTGGTGGACACATACCTGTTTCCGGTAAGTGCCCACAGATAAGATGAAAAGGAGAAATGAAGAAGGGGCCGTCGGCTTGGAGGCTACTTGGGGTCCTGAGTGTGGGCAGGGGCTCAGGGGAGGGAGGGAAGACAGAGAGGAGAGAAAAGAAAGAGGCCAGCGGGGGCAGCTTCAGGGCACTGAGCAGAAGATGCCTCTGGAACTGTGTCCTTCAGCCTTTGACACCTGCGGACCAGCACTTGGCCTGCACATGGATCCTCAGAGCCGAGAGCTAGAGCAGCAGGTGGAGAATTTGCCTCGCACACGGCCAACCCGGGCGCAATTTGGTCCCTGAGCACAGCCGGGGATCACCCCTGAGAACAAAGCCAGGATTGAGCACTGAGCACTGCCACGTGTGGCCCCCCCAAAACAAACAAAAACATAAGCAAGGGGGTATGCTGCTAGTTTTATACCTCTTCACCCCTACGGGACCCTGATCTGTAGACTGAAAGTTTGGAGATCACTGTTCCAGAAGGTTCCAGCAATACCCCAGGGACTGACTGATCTCTCCCCTGAATTCTGTTCCTGAGGAAACAGGTCAAATCTAGGGGCAACTGCCTGTGGCTGGAAAAGGAACAAGAGCCAAGAGGAGCTACTCGAGAGGAGACTGGAGAGATGGCGCAGTGGCTGAGGCGCGATGTCCCAGGGGAGACGCCCACCCCGATCTCTCCAGTTCTGTGGCCTCCCTGTGTGTGGGGGAGAGACTCCCATCCTAGGAGAGACGATCCTGAGTGAGGTCTGTGGGCAGAACAAAGGATTGGGCCAGTGAAGAGAAGGATGAACGTGGAGCAGAGGAAGGAAAGGCGGTCAAATGTGTGAAGCTGCTGAGAGGAGCCAGTGGGGAAATTGAGGCTGCTCCCAGACGCCTGGCAGCAAAGTGGGGCAAGCCCAGGCAGATGAGGCCTGCAGAGAGAACCAGAGCAGGCCAAGCTGACTCGGGGATGGAGGCTGGGGAGGTAGACGGGTGGTGGGCAGAGACTTGGGACAGCGGCTCCAGGGTCTAGAGACGCGGACACCTGCCTCATTCCGCATCCCGGAAGACAAAGACAATGCGGGGGACAGAGCTTCGGGCAGGGCTCTGGGCACCTGAGCCAGGAGGAGGCAGAGGTTCCGTCCCTCAGGGACATGGGCTAGCAGGCGGCTGGCTGCAGTGGCTGATGGGGTAACGGTTACCGGAAACGAGAGCCCAGGAGCAGAGGGACTGCCGAGCTGTCTGGGTCCCCTGGGGTGGGGCCAGTCAGACGGGCTATCAGGCTGGCAGAGGGAGGGCAGGCCAGCAAGCGGGGACATGCTGGGGCCTTGGTGGGACCGCAGCCTGGGCCAGGCAGAGGGGTGAGTGGGTCTGGGAGGTGAGAGCATGAGTGGGTTGCGACCAGCGCTCAGCTGGGGGAGGCTGGAATGGGATTTCCACCCTTTCCTTTGTTCACTCCTGACTGCTGGGGTGCTGCACACTCCTCACCTCATCTCCTCACCTTACCTCCTCATCTTACCTCCTCATCTCACCCTCTTCACCTCACCTTCTCACCTCATCTCATCTTACCTCCTCTTCTCACCTCCTCACCTCATCTCCTCATCTTACCTCCTCATCTCACCCTCCTCACCTCACCTCCTCACCTCACCTCACCTCCTCACCTCACCTCCTCACCTCATCTCCTCACCTCACCTCCTCACCTCATCTCCTTGCCTCACCTCCTCACCTCCTCACATCATTCCTCACCTCACCTCCTCATCTCACCTCCTCACCTCACCTCATCTCCTCACCTCACCTCCTCACCTCATCTCCTCATCTCACCTCCTCACCTCACCTCCTCACCTCACCTCCTCACCTCATCTCCTCGCCTCACCTCCTCACCTCTTCACATCACTCCTCACCTGACCTCCTCATCTCACCTCCTCATCTCACCTCCTCACCTCACCTCCTCACCTCATCTCCTCATCTCACCTCCTCACCTCACCTCCTCGCCTCACCTCCTCACCTCATCTCCTTGCCTCACCTCCTCACCTCTTCACATCACTCCTCACCTCACCTCCTCACCTCACCTCCTCACCTCATCTCCTCACCTCACCTCCTCACCTCATCTCCTTGCCTTACCTCCTCACCTCCTCACATCATTCCTCACCTCACCTCCTCATCTCACCTCCTCACCTCATCTCATCTCCTCACCTCACCTCCTCACCTCATCTCCTCATCTCACCTCCTCACCTCACCTCCTCGCCTCACCTCCTCACCTCTTCACATCACTCCTCACCTCACCTCCTCATCTCACCTCCTCACCTCATCTCCTCGCCTCACCTCCTCACCTCTTCACATCACTCCTCACCTCACCTCCTCATCTCACCTCCTCACCTCATCTCCTCACCTCACCTCCTCACCTCTTCACATCACTCCTCACCTGACCTCCTCATCTCACCTCCTCATCTCACCTCCTCACCTCACCTCCTCACCTCACCTCCTCATCTCAGCCTCTTCACCTCATCTCCTCATCTCACACTCCTCACCTCAGCACTGATCATTCTAGAACCTTCCAGGCCAAGGGCACAGCCTCCACAAAGGCCCTGAGAAGGGAGGGGACCATGTGGTAGTGAGTTCTTGTACACCCTGGCTCCCAGCACACTTAACTGTGGGGCAGAGACTGGACCCGGGGTCCCCTATCCCTGCCGGCACAATAGTAGAACGATGAGTCAGGTTGGCGGTGAGAATGGGTTAATAAAACATTTTGTTAGTGCCCGAGGCTTAGAAAACCCCATAGAGCCCCAGCTGGCACTCCCTGGGCCTTCCTCCTCATCTCATACCAACCCCTGTCCCTCACCTTAGTGACATCCACAAACTTGGGGTCTGCCAGCAGGGTCCTCTTGGCATAGGCAAAGCGAAAGGCTTCGACGATGCGGTGGTATGTCAGGCTCTTCTGTTCCGCTGTCTTGACGCTCTCCGGGGAGAAGTTGTACCCTGGGGAGGCAGGTGGGGAGAGAACCTGGTGCCTTTGGGGGTTCCCGGCTCAGTTCGAATATCTGGGCACCCTGGGGAGGGCTCACCTCTCCTGGAGCCACTCGGCTCGTCAGCAGGGAAAAACTCGCAGCCAACCGAGCCACGGATCTGGGTCCCACACACCCAGACGAGAGCGCGGTCACCCCTCCGACTGCCCAGGTCCCCCTCAGCCCTGGGCCACAGCATCACACCCCGTCCCTCCCGGCCGCCTCGCACCCTGGCTGCTGCCACCGGTGGTCCCCACGCCACAGTGCCTCCTGCGGGCAGGCGGGGACAGCTCACCTTTGAGGATGTTGAGGATGAGGGTCAGTACGGGGCCACTGAGAGGGGCACTGGGCGCGTAGAGCTTGGAGTCCCCGAGGCTGATGCTCACCGGAGCCTGGACCTCGGCACGGTACTTGTTCAGGTCGTTGAGAGTGACAATTCCCCCTGTAAGGGGACAGCTGCTCAGTGTCGGGGGAGGGCGGTGGACACAGGTGCGGGTGAGCAGTGGACACCAGGCCGGTGGCCCAGGGAGAGGGCAGGCTGCATCCCAAGAGGGTGTGAGGACCGTCAGTTCGGGAACCTGCTCCAGCCCTTCTCCCTTCAACCTATGCTCCCTGTGTCCTCCCTGACAGCGCCGCATCCCCATGGCCAGCCCACAGCCAGCCCCCTCAGCCAGCTTGCTCTGCCGCCTTCTCTCCCTTGGGGGGCCCGGGGGGCATCTCTCTGTGGGGAGTGGCAGCTCCTTCTCCCATGACTAATGGGTGGGCGGTGAGAGGCGCTGAACTCTCCGGGGAAAGGGTTCCAGACGGCTGAGGTATTTACAGACTAATTTCCGGCATCGGTGGTGAAGGGCAACAAGTTAATCTCCCTCTTCCGTGACACACAGACAGAAATAATAACATGAAGAACACCGCAGCCAAGCTCCTAAACTCCATTCTGTCAGAACCTGCCCGTGGAGCCCTGACCGCAGCCCTGCGGGCAGAGGGCCCCTCCGGCCCTCTCTTGCCAAGCCCACCTGATGGACCCTGTGACCCTCCCAAGCACGTCCTCCCCCTTCTCTCAGGGCCCTGCACTGCTCCCTCTACCGGCAGGGACCTTCCTCTTTCTGGTTTTTTTTTTTTTCCTTTTTGGGTCACACCCAGCGATGCTCAGGGGTTACTCCTGGCGGTGCTTGGGGACCATATGGATGCTGGGAATCCAACCTGGGTCAGCCGCGTGCAAGGCAAACGCCCCACCCGCTGTGCTATCGCTCCAGCCCCAGGGACCCTCCTCTTTCTGCCCACCAACTCCAACCCCATCTTTCAGAGAAGTATAGACCCCTCCAGAAAGTCTGCACATGGGGCCGGAGCTATAGAACAGCCGGGAGGGCACTTTCCTCGCCAGCGGCCGAGTTGGGTCTGACCCTCAGTGCCCCGTCTGGCCCCTGCAACCCTGACAGGTTGTGAGCCCTGAGCACAGAGCCAGGAGTCAGGCCCGAGCACCGCTGGGTGCAGCCCCCAAGCAAAACCAAAATCAAACAGGAAGCCTGCACAGATCTGCACATCAGTGCGTCCATAACCCCAAGTTCCCATCTACGCCTGCAGGAACCACCCCCCCACCCCCCCACCCCCCGCCCATCCCAGTGTCTTTCTCTCCTGTACCCAGGAAGCGCATCTGTGGTTGCTGTCACACCCGAGTCTCTCTCCCGCCGCAGACAGACACGGGGGGGGGGGGGGGGGGGGGGGGGGAGGGGGGCTGGGCGGAGGCTCACCTGCTTCGCGGATGTCTTTGACAATCTGGTCCGTGAGGCTCCCGCGGTAGAAGGCCTGAGCGCCCTCCCTGGCCACCGTCTCATACGTCTCGGCTAATTTCAGCAGGGTCAATCTGTCCCCCTCCCGGAGGACCTTCCCGTCTCGGCAGAAGACCTCACTGCAGCAGGGGTGGGGTGGGGTGGGAGGTGCTGTCGGTAGGCAGGGCACTGGGCTCAACTAGCCCATACCCTGCACCCCCCAGCACAGGGAGCAGAGGACAGTGACCCCCAGCTAGCTGGCCCTGTCACCCGAGGCTCACCCTGGTTCCACCCTTTGCTTCCTCCAGTTTCTGTGGGCCAAGACCCCAGGAGGCAGGCAAGGCATGTGTCCCCACCCCCCAGAACGACAGCAGGGGCCTGTGTCCGGGTGGCTTCAGGGCAGACCTACCACAGCGCTGGGCGCCCCTCGATGGTGGCCTTCGCCTTCTCCAGTGCCGTTGCCAGAGACTTGCCCACGGGGAAGCCCTCGCGGGCCATCTGGATGCTGGGCTGGAAGAGGCGGGCCCAGGGCAGCCGCCCATGCCGCTGGTGCGCCAGCTCATAGCCCCGGATCTCGCCGGGAACCGCCACAGACAGGCCCCCTGTGAGAGAGGACACTCGGTGGCTCAGGAGGGAGTCCCGGAACAGAGGCCAGTGGGGGCCATGAGGGGCTAAGGTTAGGTGTGGGGCCACTGTCCCACCCCTGCATAGGCCCAGCCTCCAAGCCCTCTGGGCCTCAGCCCCCCCAACCCCCCCACAACCCCACTGCCATGGACACCGAGACGTCCCCTCTCAGCCTCCTCTGCTCACCACTTTCCCCTCTAGCATCAAAGACGCACCTCAAAAAGAGGTAGCCCCCTGGGCTGGAGCGATAGCACAGCAGGTAGGGCGTTTGCCTTGCACGCAGCTGACCCGGGTTCGATTCCCAGCATCCCATATGGTCCCCCAGCACCGCCAGGGATAATTCCTGAGTGCAGAGCCAGGAGTAACCTCTGTGCATCGCCAGGTGTAATGCAAAAAGAAAAAAAAAAGTAGCCCCAAAGTCCTACCTAGTTCAACAAAGGAACTCCAAACCTCCAGGAGGTGGGAAGCTCCCAGGGTCGCCCACCCCTCATCATTGTATCTCTTTAAGCTTGTGGTTCCCCCAATGAGTGCAAATACTCAAAGACTGTTAGAAAGGTCTCCAGAGGGGTGGCTCACAGAGGGTCCCCACAGAGGGTCCCCACTGAAGGGGCGGAGCCTGCCTGCCCCTGGGGGTCAGAGCTGGGGGGGGGGGGGGGTTGGAGGCTCTCTCCCGCTATTTTTTGAAGCAGGAGCAGCTCCCCCTGGTGGCCACTGGCTCAGCTGCCCACAGAGGTGGGTGGTGGGTGTCCTTGGTGTGTGGAGGATCTGGGTTTGATTCCCAGCACCTCACAAAAAAAAAAAAGAAAAGAAAAAAGAAAAAGAAAAAGAAGAAGGAGGCTCTCGTGTACTGTCATCCCCACCGATGAGCCACTCTCATCCTCTCAAATACACTAGTAAACAGCTTGAGGATGTCTGTTTAGAACGGGCTGTTTAATCCCTGCAGACCACAGCACTCCAAGTATCCAGGGAGGATCAGGTTCGAGGAACAGAAAGGAGCAGTATGACACACCCTGGTATGTCAAGCTCTTGCCATCATCATCATCATCATCTTGGCGTCTGAGACATGGTACAGGGGTAAAGCAGTTGCCTTGCACGCGACCGACCTGGGTTCAATCCCTGACATCCCACATGGTCCCCCGAGCCCCTTCAGGAGGATTCCCTGAGTGCAGAGCCAGGAGCAAGCCCTGAGCACCACTGGGTGTGGCCCAAACACCCAAAATAAACAAGTTAATTAATTTAATTAAAATGTGAGACAGCCAAGCAGGTCGTAGCAGCACCGACCCCTCACCCACACCGGCTGCCCTGGTGATAGCAGAAATAACAGAGGCCCAGGTGGGGCAGACCCTCCCGGCCCACGCCCACACCCACGCCCACGCCCGCCCCGCCTCACCTTCTCTGGCCATGGACGAGCTGTTGAACATGGTCTCAGAGGCCTGCTCAGGGGCCACCTCGCGGGCATTGATGACCTCAGCTGTCCCTGCCGGGAGGAGCAGCCGACGGGGGTCACAGCGCCCCCTGCGCCTCCTCCCCCCCGCCCCCTCCCGCCCCAGAACACCCCTCTCCCCCGTCCCCCCCACAGCCCCTTCTGTGGCCCCGCCCGGCCCCGCGCACTCACGGGTGGTGCTGTTGTAGATGGTGAGGAACAGGCCGCCCCCGATGCCCATGCTGTGGATGTTCATGAGCCCCATGCACAGCAGGGCCGCGATGGCCGCGTCCACCGCCGAGCCTCCCTCCTTCAGAATGTCCCTGTCCACAGGGGGCAGGGGGTGAGAGCCTGCAGGCTCTGTCACCCGGCCCCCAACACCACCCAGGCCTGGCCACCAGTCCAAAGGGGGAGGTCAGGGTTCTGTTTTGTTTTTCATTTTTGGTTTTGGGTCACACCCAGTGACGCGAAGGGGTTACTCCTGGCTCTGTGCTCAGGAATTACTCCTGGTGGTGCCCAGGGGACCATACGGAGTGCCGGGGATCAAACCCTGGTGCCCCGTGAAAGCAAGTACTCTACCTGATGTGCTGTTGCTTTGGTCACAAGGCAGGTGTGTGTGTGTGTGTGTGTGTGTGTGTGTATGTGCATATGTGTATGTGTGTGTCTGTGTGCCCATGTGTACCTGCGTGTGTTTGTTTTTTAGCACAATTCTAAAACACAGCTTCCTCTTCTTCAAGGAAGCAGATGGACAGAACTTCCATGACAAAAAAAAAAAAAAGAACTTCCATGACATCGAAAGGGAAAATTAAGGACTAGAGTGACATCTCAAGAATCAGCACATTCTTTGCATGCAGGAGCCCTGGGTTTCAATCCCCAGCACCTCATCGTCCCCAGGGCAGGGCCAGAGAAACTGAGCAGTTAGCTGTGGAGTAGCCCCTGAGCACCGCTAGGTATCTCCCAGTAAAAAATTATAAATTGTTATTTTCTCCCTCCCTCCCTCCTCCCTCCCTCCCTCTCTTCCTTCCTTCCTGCCTGCCTTCCTTCCTTCCTTCCTTCCTCTTTCTTTATTCCTTTTTTCCTTCTCTTTCTTTATTCGTTCCTTATGCATGCAAGCGTGTGCTTTACCACTCAGCCACAAACCACATGTCCAGTTCCAACTTTCTTTCTTTCTTTCTTTCTTTCTTTCTTTCTTTCTTTCTTTCTTTCTCTTCCTTCCTTCCTTCCTTCCTTCCTTCCTTCCTTCTTTTTCTTTCCGTTTTTTGGGTAACACCCAACTGTGCTCAGGGCTTACTCCTGGCTCTGCTCTCAGGGATCACTCCTAGCAGAGTTAAGAGGTCTTGCAAACACCAGCAACATAACCTCTGTATCTGGCCCTCGACAACAGCTTTCTATTGGTGCTACCAATGCCTTCGTACTTGTTTCTTTGGGGGCTTGCCTTGTGGTGCTCAGGGACTGCTTCTGGCTTTGTGCTCAGGGGCCAACTTGTTGGTGGCCAGCGGGACCAAGCGGTGCTGGGGATCGAACCTAGACCTCCTGCGTGCACAGCATAGCTCCAGCCTGTTGAGCTCTCTGAGCGACTCTAGTCAGGTCTCTTCAGGGAGAATGGACTTTACTGTTTGATAAAATGTGAGAGAGGAGGAGCTGGAGCGATAGCACAGCGGGTAGGGCGTTTGCCTTGCACGCAGCCGACCCGGGTTCGATTCCCAGCATCCCATATGGTCCCCTGAGCACCGCCAGGAGTAATTCCTGAGGGCAGAGTCAACACAGGTGTGACCCAAAAAAGAAAAAAAAAGTGAGTGAGGAGTCAGAGAGGCAGCAGAGGGGTGGGGCGGGTGCTTGCCTTTCACAGGACTGACCCCAGCCCAGTCCCTGGCACTATCCTTCACGGTCTCCTGAGTACGGAGCCCAGAGTAAGACCTGAGCACTGGTGGGTGTGGCCCAAAGCACCCAGAATAAGTAAATTCATTAATTTAATCCCATGTGAGACAGACGAGCAGGTTGTAACAGTGCCCACCCCTCCCCCACACCAGCTGCCAAAGAGACAGACACCCTTCGAACTGAGACACAGGGCCACTGCGAGACTGCACCCGGCTCTCGGAATAAGCATCCCCAACGTGAGGCTGCTGAGTGTGTCCCTTGGAAGGACACCTGGTCTAGGGAAGCCCTTTCCGGGCCCCTTCCCAGTGCTGTTCCCTAGCTCCCGCTGGGCATCTCCACTCACCTCCCAATCTCTGAGCAGCGCTTGGCATCGGCAGCCACAGCCGCCTTGGGGTACACGTGGCTCTCTTCTGGCGGCGCCTTGGACAGCCAGAGGGAGAGGCCCACGATGAGGAGCACCAGGGCCACGGCCAGCAGGGCCAGCACCAGGTACCTTTTCTTCATGGCTCTGTGGCACCGGGAGAGGGGAGCAGCTCAGGGCACTGCCACTGACCTAGACTGGGCACTTCCTGTGAGGGCCCAGCCCTGCATCGGTGCCCTCAGCAGCATTTCCTGAGCCGTCCGGGATTGTCCAGCCCCTTGACCAGGCCCTTCCCTCTACCAGAAACTTCTGGGCCCCTCTCCCTCCTCATCCTCGGGCCCCCAGCCCAGGAAGATCACTGTGTCCAAGAGGGAGTGGCCGTGCATCTCATTCTAGGTCCAAGCCTTCCAACACGGGGAGATGTGTGGAGAGTCTAGGGGTCCTGATTCACCGTGTTCCCCGCCTCGTCCCGCAGCCTGGCTCTGTCCTAAAGTGTGGGCTCAGCTCCTGTCCCCGGCCTGCCCCTGCGCTGACCTACCTTCTGTTGGAGGAACGCAGCTGGGAGCCTCAGCTGGGAGACACCACGGGACACAGGGCGGATAGCAGAACCCTCTCACCCTCGCAGGAGCCTGCAGCCACGCCGTCCACTCCAGAAACTCCTGAAAACTGAGGGAGTCACTGGCGCAGGCCTCTCCAGAGAGCTCTGTGGGGTTCCCCTGCCTTCCGAGAAGAAGCTAACCAGTGCCCCTCAGCCTGGCACAGAGGGCTCTGGGCAGTGTCAGACGGGGGCGCAGGCAGCGTGGCACCAGGCCAAACCGTGACGCCTCACACCTGAGCTGGGGGATGGGGCGGATACTCCTTTCTCTCTCCTCTGGACATGCTACTCACCTGCCCGGGACTGTGGGCGCGTCCCCAATGGCTGTTGAGCGGCAGTGACAGTGCCAGCTGTGGGGAGGCTCACGAGAGCTGCGTGGGGCTCACGGCTGTCTCTCCCTTCCAGGCAGGGATCTCTGGGGTCTCTGTGGGGACAGAATGGGAGTGTGTGTGGGGGGGGGTTCATGCCTCCCGCAGGCTGCCAAGGGCAGGAGCTTCCGGTGAGCAGCGCTGGCAAAGGACTCTGCAGGTGTGACTGGCCCCTCTTGGGAGGATCCAAACTCCAGGGCCACACCTGTGCCCACTGATGGCTCAGGGCAGAGCCCCACCCTTGTGGGAGCACAGATAACCTCAAGGAACTAATCCTCCCAAGCTCCTGGCCAGCGCCTCCTCCCCACCTGTGCTGGCCCAGGTCTAGGGCCTGGACTTCCACATGGCCTTCCCGACTCTCCCTCCGAGGCACTGCCCGTGCCTTAGAGTTCAGAAAGCAGAGAGAAGCCGGCGCCTGCCCAGTAGTTCAGCACATTGTTTTATGAAATGTGAGGCTTGCCCGTGTCCTGGGTTCCTTCTCTGATATCTCTCTCCCTCCCTCCCTCCCTCTTTTCCTCCCTCTCTCCCTCCCTCCCCCCCATCCTCCCTCTTTCTCTCTCTCTCTCTCTCACACACACACACACACATACACACACACGTGGAAGGAGCCAGAGGGCTCTCTCCTAATGGCCAATGACCTGGATCTCAGGGACAGGCCATGCCCTCAACCCTGTCCCTCCACCCTCTACTGGTCCCCACAGCCCCAGGACTATCTGGAGGCCAAGTCAGGGTTAAGGGTATCAGAAGGGGACAGCTGTGTTGAGAGGTTCCTAGGGTCTCAGAATCTGGGCCAGCCACATGGGGGGTGGGGGTGGGGTGTGTTCTGGACACAGAAGTTTCCCATAACCCCGGGCAGGGCAGGACAGGACAGGGGCAGGAGGCCCTGACCCCTTCCCTAGCGGGCACAGCTCCCCCCCACCCTGCCGGCAAGGAGGTCCCATCCCCCGCCCAGGGTCAGGGGGCCATGAGGGGAACCTGAGGCTCCTCTGCTTATACCTGGGGCCAAATCAGAGGCTTTCCTGGCCCCCTCCTCTCGCCCCCCAGACCCTGAGCCCCAAGGGCCTCTCCCATCTCTGTCCCCCATCTCCGGTCGGCTCCTGAGGGGCAGCTCTGGGAGTCTGGGGAGTCCAGGGCCACACTGGGGCTCCTCCCCGCAGCTGAGAGACGCCTCCCTGTCCCCCTTCACAGCGGAAGACCCCCTGCCGGGGCACTGGACTTCCGGCCCCTCGTTCTCAGGGACTTGCTCCCTGTCCAAGCCCAGAGGCCTGGCTCGCACCCAAATCAGCATCGGGAGGGGAGAGAGTGGGTCGGCTCAGCAGGCGGCCCCCACCCCATGCCCACCCCTGAGGCCCCTGGGGGCTTACCTGGGGCTCCAGGCAGCAAGGACACGGGAGAGCCGGTGCTCCTCGGAGGACAGGTCAAGGCTGGGGAGCAGCCAGGGAGGAAGAGGCAGATGTGTTTGTCTGGGAAAGTCTGTCCTAGCACGGGGGGACCCCGCCCCCACCCCGACTCCCAGAGCCACCCATGGCCCCCGCACAAGTCCCCAGGGAGGCGCTGAAGGATGATCACCTCTGTGGAGGGGCAGAGGCGGCAGAGATGGAGGGGGTTCACGCTTACCTAATCACAGACGGGGGCTGAGGCCACACGGGGGTGCGTCTGGCATCCCTGTGGAGAGAGAACAGGAGTCTGAGGAGGGTGGTGGGCAGGAGGCAGCCTGACGGGGGCTGTGGGGTCACCCGCCTGCCACCAGGCAGGGCCCTGAGCAGGGATGAGGAGGGAGGGGCTGTGAGCCCTGGGCTGGGGTGCGGGGGTGCTCCTGGACACAGTTCCTCCCAGAGGCAAGCGTCCTGCAGTGTGACCACCTCCTGGCTCATCCTGTTCCTATTCCGATGTCCGAACTAGGGCCTGGACAGAATGTCCCAGAGTTGGTTCCCGAGGCCAGGGAGCAGGGTTTGCTGCCAACACCAGGACCTGCAGCCGAGCGGCCACCTCCCAGAAGCAGAGCCCAGGGCCCGGCTTCCCAACCAGTTTGCACCACCTCTTCAGGAGCGAGTGTCAGTTCCTGGGGCCTCCACAGCCTGGGGACGAAAGTCCAGAGGGGTCAGAGCCAGTCCAAGATGGCACAGCCTGGCAGTGCCGGCCCCGCCAGCTCTGACCTGCACGGACCCGACTCACATTCCAAGGAAGTTCCGTCAGGAGCATCTGCGGGCTTGGCCCCGGGGACCCTGGGCTTTGCTCCTCATGCCCACTTGGACTTCTTCTTCCAAGGACAAAGTCTTCTTCTCCCTGACTCATCTGCCTCAGCCACTGGCCCAGGCTGCCCGTGAAGCCCCACAGACCACATGTGTAACACCGAATCCACACCCGCCCCAGAGTTTGAACGCTCGGATAGATGGCCTGGAAGCGACCCCATTTTGCTGCCCGTCATGGGATCATGCATCCTATCTTGTCTCCACAGCCCTAGCGCAGTCTCAGTGTACTCCCATGAAACCCTCAATGCAGCCAGGATGTGGGGGGCTAGTGAGGGGGGAGCTCTTCCCCTGGGCAGGAACAGACGGGGCCAGAGTCTGGGATCGAGGGTCCAGGACCGGACACCAGCCAGCAATGTCAGGGCACTTGGGTGGCCACTTTACAGGCCATCCGCAGGAAGGGGCTGCAGGGAGGAGCGGCCTTGCATGGGCACTCAGCCTTCTGGGAAGTGGGCAGAAGACACAACATTGGTGGTGGCGGGGGATAAGGAAGAAGAGCGTCTGGGTAGGCAGAGGATTGTCTGGATGCCGCAGATGACCCTCGTGGAAAATCCGCGGCTGGGTCAAGTTGGAGGAGGGCTGCCTGCCGTGGGCACAGATAAGCCTCTGGGTAGCCAGGAAGTGCAGCCACCAAGGCCATCTCAACAGAGGCATCACGTCCCGGCAACGGAGGCCTTCCTCTCCCCCCAAGCCCATCACATTTTGTCCCCATCAGTCCTGCATCCCTCCGTGAGGAGCCCAAGGGGGTGTAGTGCTGGGAAAGCCTTCTCAGCCCAGGAAAGCTGCAGGGTCGGGGCTAAGGGTCTCCTCTAGACCCCAGAGCTGCTTTCTGTGCCAGACACTAAAGAGTGTGAGCCACCCCACCCCCACCCCCATTCCCAGGACCGTGCACACTTATCATCAGCACCACCTCTTCCCAACATATATTCACACACACATGCAAGCACACATGCACACACCTGCATGCACATGTACACGCATGTCTATATGGACATGCATGCTTGCACAGGCACACATGCATAAACGAACACAAGCCTACACACACGCGCACAGGCATATATACACATGCATGCATATGGGCACACACACACACACACACATACACACATGCACGGCGCGTACTGAAAGTAGTGGGTTCCCAGCGGCAGCTGAGGAGGACCCTGAGGAAGAAGATAAGCCACCAGCCTGGAGTTGGTGTTAGTCCTTCAGCGGGGCCCAGTGACAGTGTCATTCTGACCCCAGAAGCACAGGAGTAAGCCCGGGACAAGATGCCAACCTGTCAGAGACAGGAAGCTGAAGCTTAGGTGAAAGCCACTTGGCACAGTTCAGCGGGGACCCGGGGGTATGTGGTAGACCCAAAGGTGAGCCCAGGCCGCTCACTCAGCCCACTCCTGCAGTCCACAGTGAGGAGTCATCCCCCGGGGTATGAGAAACAGCTCAGGCTGCCAGGGGCCCGACCACTCCTTGGGACAGGCACCAACACCCCCAGCACAGCCACCCAGAGCCGGGATCTCTGCTCTGTGCAGCCCGGTGACCCGGGAACCAAAGTGTAGCTGAGAATCAAAGAAGCTCAACTCCCCAGAAGCCTGAGGACACGACTACATGCTCTCAATGACCGCAAGGTGGCGGGCGCCCCCTTGGGTTGTGCGAAGCGGCTCCTTGCACAGGGACCCAGGCCCCACCCGCACCCAGTCACCCCCAGAGCCCAGGAAGGGCCAGGCATGGCCCAGGACATGCCGTCTTGACCCAAGCACAGTTCCCGCTCCATCCAGCGCTAACACCCCACCCACACACACACCAGTCTCCCCACACCCCCACCTAAGTTTACCAGATCCCCCTGGGCCTCAGTTTCTCCTTGCTGCATGCCTCCTTCTTAATTCCCAAAAGTCCTCTCTGGCCGTTTCTGGAGAAAAGTCAGGAGATTCCACCTGGCCCTCTTTCCTCTTTCCACCCCTCATCTACAGCAGAATGAGTCAGAAAGCTAAACAGCTTACCAGATCCCATCCATTTCTCTGGACAGATGAACCCACTTTCCAGACAAGAAACGGGAGCCTCAGTCCAGATCCTAAAGCGCTAACCCCTGTGGGACCCGCCTCGGGGCCCGTCCATGCGGGTCCCACCCTCTTCAGCTCAGCCCCATTGCAGGGGCAAGTAGACTGAGGCCCAGAGAAAGGACGAGAAACTCCTCCAGAGTACAACCAACAGCGGCCAGGCTGGAGCCCAGCCTCCGCTCCTAGGCGGCTCCTACCTGTGCTGTCCAGAGAGGGTGGATGGAGTCCGGGGTCAGCCAGCACTGGGGCACGGCCAGATGCCCTCCTGGCTCACCTGGTTCCCGTGTGCGCGGAACCTTCTGCAGCTCTCCAGCACTGAGCTGAGTCCAACTGTGACCCAGGGCTCCTCCCCTCCCTCTCCTGCTGGCCTGAGCTTGGGGGAGGCTTTAAAGGCACAGGAACCTTAGCAGGTGGGAAGAGGGCCGGCCCTAGGTGCTGCTCCTGGCGCTGTGGGACCCAGGACAGCTGCTGGGTTCTCGGAGCCCAGGAGGGCCCCAAGCCCTGACAGAGGGGCCTGAGCTCTGAGAGACTCCGGGAGGCTCAAGAAAGTGAGGTTCCAGGGAGGGGCAGATCGGAACAACAGTCCCAGGGGAGGTGAGCGCCCCCCTCCCGTGCCCCCCTCCATGGATGGGTCAGTGTGGGGGCCCACACCAGTGGGAGTCAGAAGGATACAAAGCAGCCGAGGGCTCAGCAGTGCTCGGAATACAGTTCTCCCCGCCACCAGGGCAGAAGGGACCCCTCAAACTCACTGCCCCATCACTCTGCCTCAGGGCTGCCGGTGGGCGTCCAGGGGCAGCCACTCCAGGGTCCTGTGGAGGGGAGTGACTTGGGGGAGCTTTTCCTCAAATCCCCTCCCCCCACTGCCAACTTCCTGGGGTCTTGTACAGACTGAAAAGAGGACACCAGACAGTGAGGTGGGGGATCACTAGCACACCCCCCCGCCCCCGCCACACTCAGGCCATGGAAGGAGACGAGGGGCCCTCACAGGGCTGGCAGGAGCAAGCCTCCCACGCCCCTTGATCCGAAGACTGAGGTCCACTCGAGGTCCACTCACGGCCTGTTGCGTGTAGAACAGTCCCGCCTCAACAGCTTAAACACATTCATTCATTCATTCATTCATTCATCCTGCTCCACTCCTTCCCCGCATGCGAAGCCCCCAGTCAAACTGAAGATGGGCTAGCACCATCAGTTAAGGAGCGGGGAGGGAGGGCCCAGGACCCCTGAGATGGGAAGGGCAAAGGGTAGCCTGGAAGGGGTCAGGAGCTGAGGAGGACAAGCGAGGTGGAGGCCGGGGCATGGGGGTGGGGGTGAGGGCCCCTGAGCATGGTGCTCGGGCCCTGGCGGCCTCTCCAGGAGTGGTGTGAGGGAAATGAGAGGCTTGACCTCCCCGGACCTCCCCGCACTCCGAGGCGTCAAGGTAGGAAAGAGAAGTGGCTGAGGCCAGACCTTGAAGACCAAGTCAGTGTTTCTGGACTTTGAGAGTCTAGGGAGGCTGGTGAATGTGTCACTGGTCTGGGTAACCCATTAACCCTGGCTCAGTCATTAAGACCCTGGTGGGTGATCCCTGGCCACCCCTCAGGCTGTGGGAGCCTGGGTGGAGGCTTGGAGGGCTGGGGGACCCCGGGAAGAAGGGCGTGCTGGTGGGGCTCTGGCTCACTGAGTCCAGCACTCTGTGTCCTTGTTCCTTGCATTTTCCTGGGTCGGGTCGGCGTCCTGCCGGCTGCCAAGAAGCAGGTGGAGGGGGTGGGGGGAGCACTCACCACTCACTCCATCATCCCGATACCTTTCATCCCTTAATCACCACTGCCAGGCTGACACCACCCACCTGCAGTGCTCCCGGGCCAGTGCCAGATGGGAGGGGCGAGATGCTGGACGCACTGTGGGTGGGAGTGGCTGGGCGCCCGGCCATCTCCGCCGGCAGAGCGATGACCAGCAGTGGTCTGCAAGGCCCTTCTTGTTGGGACAGGCTGTCTTGGCTGCGTCACGGGCCCTGGGTACACCAGGAGAGTGCTCCCGGGGCAGGAAACTACCACCCACAAAGGGAAGGGACTTTCTAGAATCAGCCAGAGGGACAGTTGGACAGTGACCTATGCCACAGGGAATGTGTCCAAACCACCTGCGCCACACCCGGCCCTGCAGTCAGGCCTTGGCGTGGCTGTGCCTGGGCCCCAGTCAAGGTGCCTGGGTGGGCCTGGCCCGGGACACACCACATCCACAACCACTGCCGGCCGCCGCCTCCGCCGTGAGCCCCGCCAGCAGGGCGGGCAGCGCTTGAGCCTTCCAGCACACCCGCTGGGACAGGCCCACAGGGAGGATCCTGGGAGCGGGACCCCGACATCACCCGGGACATTCTGTGCTCTCTGCACCCAGGGGACGTTTGATAAAACGACTGACCGAAGTGACTTCAAATTATCCAAACATCCTCGCGTCTTTTTCTTTTTTTCTTTTGTTTCTGGGCCACATCCAGCAGTGTTGGGAGCTATTCCCGGGTGCTCAGAGGACCATGAGGTTGCTAGAGATCCTCCCATGTGCATGGGCGGGAGGGGAGGTCACTCTGGCCTCCTCATCTGCCTCCTGGATCACCTCAGAGGCTTTGTCTCTGAACTCCCATCCTCCAGCACTCCAGATGTCACATACCTGCTCCAGGACGGGACCTCACAGCCTGTGGAACCACAAGGACTCCCTTCACTGGCACGTGGCAAGTTCGTCCCAATGCCCTGTGTATCTTCCTAAAAAGCCTTCTGCAGGTCAGCCTGGCTCAGGTGAGCCGGGCCTCAATCCCTGCCTGCTGTCTGAGGCCACAGAGCTGAGGTATGAGACCAACCTATGGTGGTTACCTGGCCACGGTCCCTCAGAGCCAGGCAGATGACATGGAAGACCAAAAAGGAAGACTCCAGCTCCGTGAAGAGGCTGCTGGTGCCCGGCGCCAGAGGAAAGGGGAGCTCTGACCAATTATAGGCAGCGGCAGGCAGACACACACACACACACACACACACACACACACACACACACACACACACACACACACCATCCTGCTCCCCCCACCCAGCACCCTTTGCAGTTTGCAGGCAGCTTTCGCATTCTCAGCATCTCTTTGATGTGGTGGGGGGGGGGGGGGGGGGGGGAGACTGGCTCCCGGCCAGTGCGTGGGCCTGCAGAGATGCCAGCTTATTAACACCTGGGCAAGTCCAACGGCAGTCTGGCACTTGATGGACTTAGGATGGCAGCATGGTCAGGAGTTCCTGTGTTCAAATTCACCCCAGCCACTTTGGGGTGGGGCCTCCTCTTCCGGCAGTTTACTTTCTTTCTGGAGGGCAGCATGATTAAAAGGGTTGTTGGGGAGCGGAGGCGGGAGGGGGGGGTGTTCCAGAGTGATAGTGCAGCAGGTAGGGAGACCACCTTGCATGTGGCCAACCTAGTTTGTTCCTTTCCACCCCATATGTTCTCCACAAGACCACCAGGAGTGATCCCTGAGTGCAGAGCCGGGAGTAAGCCCTGAGCACCAATAGGTGTGGTCCAAACTCAAACAAACAGTGATGGAGGCCAGGGGAACGGCTTGCATGTGCGAGATCCCCTGGTTTCCACCCCTGACCACTCTGCAGGATCCTCCGCTACCTCTGAGTACCAACGGAGCCTGGTGGCTCCTGGGTACTGCCAGGTGTAGCCCACACCCACATACATTTTAAGAGGGGCTGGAGAGATAGCACAGGGGTTAAGGTGCTTGCCCTGAGCACGGCCACCCTTGCTCTGATTCTCTGACACTGCAGAGGCCCTGAGAAACTGCTGGGAATGACCCCTAAGGCCAGAGCCAGGAGTAGACCCCCAAAACTTGTGGCCACAAAAAAAGGTCATTGAGGAACCAGAGAGATAGCACAGTGGGTAAGGTGCTTGCCATACATGTGGCAGAGATGGAGTCATTCCCTCAGCACCACATATGGCCCCCCTGAGTGCCACCAGAGAGAAAGAGCTCTGAGTGCAGCAGGGTATGACCCGAAAATCAAAAATCAAGCAGGACAAAGCAATAAATGAATAGCACAGTCATGACACAGTGAGCACCCTGCACAAGTGAGGGCTGCTACCCCAGAGCCAGGACCCTGCCTTGCCTCCATCCTGGTTATAAGGGGCCTTGCCCTACATACACACACACACACACACACACACACACACACACACACACACAGACACACACACACACACACCACAGCTGCCACATCCTGTTGGGGTGCCATTTATCCCATGACCTCGTCATTACCTGCAGCGCCTGGGAGCTCCAGAGGGCGGGGGAGGAAGGCGGACTCCGCAGGACCCAGCCCCCACCCCAGCGCTCCCCAACACACCTCTACCGCCTGGAGAGGGGGGCACGCAGCCAAGCCCCCCATCTCCATAACGGGGGGTTGAGAGGCCCGGTCTGTCTGCCCCATGCTCCCGAGTGCACCCTCGGCTGCACCCCGGGCGCCCAGGAGTCCCTCCCTCCTCTGCCGGGCGCCTCTTTCAGCCCTTCCTGGCCAGTCCCGCTGCAACTCGCCCGGGCGGGCGGCCGTTTCAGACACCTCAGGTCCACATACCCCAATCTGAGCTCAGCAGCGATCCCCCAGACCTTCACCCGCCACAGCAGCCAAGGGTAGCCCGGGTGGCCGCCCCTGCATCCTCCTCGGGGCCCCATCCGTCGGCCCCTACTCAACCCCGCTCCTCCAACCGACCTCAGCCAACACCACCCACCTCTCACTCGGGCAGCTCCTCAGCGCGGTCCCCAGACCCTCCACTGGCTCCTTAGAGCAGCTTCAGAGCTCTCAGCACGCAAATGCAAGCAGTCCCTCCCCCTCTGGGGGAAAAAAAAACCACGTCAAAGGCCCCCTTTGCCCTCTGGATAAATTCCTGCCTTGCCCCGCCCCCTTCCTCCCGAGGCTCCCTCCCTGGGGCTGGCCGGTGAGTCTTTCCAGACCCCAGCCTCAGAGCCTTCTCCAGCGGAAACCCACTTTCACCTTGCTAGTTTCTGGGGACAGGACCCCCAGTTGCAGCTCCCCATCCCAATGAGTATGGGAAGGGGAGGGTAATCTGGTTTTGTACCCTCTTTGGTATGGGGAGTTTCCACCATGCCTAGCAAGCATCTCTGGATGGACGGGCACCATCTTACCTGCAGGGAAAGTCTTTAGCAGGAGCTGGCGTTGACTCACCTTTGCTAGGGGGACATCTCTCTCACTTCCCCCTTTCACAGATAAGGAGATTGAAACACGCTACTGTGATGAATAGAAGAATCCACTGCCCACCTCCCCTTAAAAACTCATACCCACCTGGGAACTCTGAATGAGTCCTTGCATGAAAATCGTGTCTTTGTGGGTATAAGTAAGAAAAGACAACATTGGAAGAAATTAGTAAGAAATTAGTGAGAAAAGACGACATTGCTTTATGGTGACCCTAAGTCCAATAGGGCATCATTCTATGAAGCCCGGGTGAGGGGCTAGAGAGAGCTCTGTGGGCGTGCGCTTCGCGTGGAGAAGGCCTGCTTTGGATGCCTGGTACCACGTGGGGCCCCTCGCACCTCTAGAAACAACTCTCAAGCTGGGAATAGCCACTGAGCACCACCCGCTGTGGTGCCCCCCAAAAAGGACTTATGAAGAGACACTCAGAAGACGTGGCAAGAAGAAGCATCTGGAAGAGCCGGAGATAAGATCAATACAGCCTCAGGAGGGACCATTGGCAGCCCCCCAAAGCTAGGCAGATGTAAAGAAGGATTTTTAGGGGGTGGGGGACAGTGGCAGGGAGAGGACTTGGGAGAGGACTCAAAGAGCTGGAGTGCGTGCTTGGCTGCAGGAGCGCCCCATTCTTTTTTTTTTTTTCATTTATTTTATTTTATTTTTATTTTTTGCTTTTTAGGTCACACCCGGTGATGCACGGGGGTTACTGCTGGCTCTGCAGTCAGGAATGACTCCTGGTAGTGCTCAGGAGATCATATGGGATGCTGGGACTCGAACCCGGGTTGGCCGCGTGTAAGGCAAATGCCCTACCCGCTGTGCTATGGCCCCAGCCCTGGGATCTCTCCATTCTATCTCTGGCACCACTCGGCTCCCATCTCTGGGCACTGCCAGTTGTGCGTCCCCTGCCCCGTCCCCCTGAGCACAAACAAACAAGACCGGCCACCTACTTTGACTGTTTACATAACCTCCGAGTGCCAGATCCAGGGACCTGGATGCAGGTCCCAGGCGTCCCCTCTGCCCATCCTCCCCCAGAAACCTTCTTCCACTGCCTGCTGCAGGCTGGCTCCTGCCTGAGACAGGTCGGGGCTCTCTCTAGACAGCTTTCTCAACTTTTGCCGACCTTGTTCTCTTTCTCTGGTTCCCTGTGGTTGGCCCTCTAGTCTCTTGCTGTGCCCCCCCACACACAGTTTTCACCCGTGTCCCCCTTAGACTGTCCTGGGCCCCGGTGGGGAGATGCAGCTCCCGCGCTGCCCACAGGCTCCCCTCCTCCCGCAGGGCTCTGGAACCATCCGCATGGCAGCTGTCATGGGCCTCAGCCACCAGGCTACTTGCCGAGGTTCCATCAGCCCCGGGCCAGCTGTCCTCCGTCCGCACTTCGCTGGTGGGCAGGGCAGAGGCCCAGGGACGGGACAGGTTCCCTTCCCTCCCGAGGCAGCCCTGCGCCTCGCCTGCTGGCTCCTCGGGACCCGGTCCCTCCTCACTCCAATCAGGTCACCACGCGGGTGGCTGAGGGCTCGGAAGCCGGAAGATGGAATCTTTTTCTTTATCCTTTTGGTCTTTGGGCCACACCTGGTGGGCCTCAGGGGCTACTCCTGGCTCAGTGCTCAGGGATCACTCCTGGGGATGGGAGTGGCTCAGAGGATCAAAGGCAGTGCTGGGACTAGACCAGGGTCAGCAACGTGCAAGGAAGGCAGACGCTTCGAGTCCTGAACGATGGTGGACATTTTGTGATCCTGTCTCCCAGGAGGGTCTGAATTTCCCGACTCCCTGCATCCTCCCTCGCACTGGCTACCCAGCGGTGCCAGGACTTCACTGAGAGACCTGGGACAGGCCATGAACCTTCCCAGGAACCGTGGGACTTGACAGACACTATCACAGCTTTGGTGCCCCAGGGGTCTCCATAAACACAGCTCTGTACAGACCCCAGCCACTCAGTCCCCACCCCACCCCCCAAAAGAAAACAAACCCAGCACAGTTCAGGGCAACTCCGGGGGAGGTGTGTGTGGGGGGGGGGGAGTTTTTAGCTTAAAATATATTGAGGCCATTAAGGGGGATGAAGCCCCCACTGCTGAGAGATTAGCTCTGTCTCTGGGGGGCGCCCGCCCAAACCAGCTTCGACCAGAAAAAGACATCAAGCGCCAACTCAAACTAGGCAACCCCCACCGAGGGCGAGGGCGGAGAGGCCCATCTGGGGATCTGGGCACAGACGCCCGCCACCTCCCTCCTTTCCTGGAAAAATGTCCTCCAGGAATCGCTCGGCCAGCCAGGGGCACGGAGTGGGGATGTGGGTGAGGGATCCAGCCTTTCTCAGGGCTCAGAGCCCTGAGCATCCCCCCACCCCAGCCCTCAGCTGTCGTCCTCCTCCTCCTCCTCCTCCTCCTCCTTCTCCTCCTCCTCCTCCTCCTCCTCCTCCTCCTCCTCCTCCTCCTCCTCCTCCTCCTCCTCCTCCTCCTCCTCCTCTCCTCCTCCTCCCGGCACCCAGGCTCAGCCTTCCCTCCCTCCCTCATCCTCCAGCTTGCTCCCTGCCTCTGGGACTCCCCACCCCACCCCACCCTCTCACGTTCCAGGGGGCAATGTCCAGTCCTGGCTCAGCCTTCGGAAGGCTCTGGTCAGGTTCCAGGAGCGAGCCCAGCCCTGGCTGCAGCTCTGCGCATGAAGAGGGGGAGAGGAAGGTCTTACCAGGATGCCGGCTCTGCCCCAGGGCCTGAGCGGTCCCTGGGGCGCTGGGCTGCTACTTAAGTCCCTGGCCCCTTCTTGGGCCCCTTCACTACCACGTCAGTCAGAGACAGCCTTGGCCTCGGGAGAAGGCAGGCTGGGCAGTCCAGCGCCCGCCAGGGAGGAAACCTGTGGTGCCAAGGTGGCCCCAGGACGAAGCTCGTGCCAGCAGGGGGAAGGGGAGCCGCCCGGTCTGGGAAGAAGGGGGGCCGGGATGGGACGGGCCCAGGAACAGACGCAGTGGGACTGCCCAGGCAGGCACTGCGGGGCTGGGGTCAGCAGGTGGACCAGGAGACAGGAAACTTAGCTGTCCTCTGGCCGGCCCCAGGGGTCCATGCCAGGGGCGCACAGAACTCCAGCGCCTTGCCCCAGGAAACCATCCTGGGCAGGAAGGCGTCTGACGGTGCTGATTTTCCATGACCCCCTCACGCTATCTGAGTCTGGGCTCAGCCCCTCCTGCTGTGGGGGGCTGGAGCTCACCCCCTAATGTCCCCACCATAGTTGAGGGGGACAGGGCTGGGGGGCTCGGGGGTGGCTGGAGGTGCAGCCTCCTGCTGAAGCACCCCCTGACCTCAGCACACACAGTGGGGTGGACAGGACTCAGGGCGGCCCAGAGGTGTACCCAACAACAGCAGGTGCTCAGAGGTGAGGGCTGCTGCCAAAGCTGGGGTTAAAGGTTAACCGGATTCCTCAGGCCACTAATCTGCAGAGTCGCCTGACTCCTGCCGGTTAGGGAGGGGCAGTAAATATTTGTCAATGCAGGACTATGGGTGTCAGCGAATCAATCAGTTACCATCCTTCGGGAAAATCGGCGGCACCCCGCCCAGGAACGGCAAAAGGCAGCGGGAGCCCGCACCCAGCGCACCGTGACTCCAAGGCCAGTGCTCTTTGCACCGCCCAAGTGACCGGTCCACCCTCAACCCCGGAGTGGGATTCAGAGGTGCTAAGTGCCACCTCCCCCTAGCTGTCCTCAGCGCCTCTCCGGGCTGCACCAGGTCTTTGAAACCGGGTCTCAGCGGCTGACTCTAGGGTGGGCAGGGGGCGTTTCCAACGAGAACCCTCAAACGGGGCGCCTGGGGGGCTGTGGGGACGCCAGGGAGGAAACTCCCTCTCCCCACTTTCCAGCTCTGCGCAGCGGGGCCAGAGGGGGCGGGGCCAGGGCGGGGCATCCCAGGAGGAGGCGGGGCCGGGGCGGGGCATCCCGGGAGGAGGCATGTCATGGGCGGGGCATCCCGGGAAGGAGGCGGCCGGGTGAGGCCCAGACCTGCGATTCCGATTCCCGCTGCGCCGCTGGAGCCGGGCGGGAACAGGAGCGGACGCGGACGCGGCGCTGGGGCGCGCTGACCTGGCCCGGGACGCAGGCTGGGCTGGTTGAGGGGAGTGTGTGTGTGTGTGTGTGGGGGGGGTACTCTTGGCTGCACCTGGTGGGAGTCTTGTCTGGGGGAGAGGGCGAGGGGGACCACCAGCCAGGCCAGGCGAGGGGGACCACCAGCCAGGCTAGCCCCGCAGACCACGGGGAGAGGAGTGGAGGGAGAGAACCAGGAGCCCGGCAGGGACCGCATTTCTGAGGCAGATGGGGCTGGAGCGATAGCACAGGGGCTAGGGCGTTTGCCTTGCACGTGGCCGATCCGGGTTCGATTCCTCCACCCCTCTCGGAGAGCCCAGCAAGCTACCGAGAGAGTACTGCCCTCACGGCAAAGCCTGGCAAACTCCCCGTGACATATTCAATATGCCAAACACAGTAACAAGTCTCACAATGGAGACATTACTGGGACCGCTCGAGTAACCCAATGAACAACGGGAGGCCAGTGCTACAGTGGACAGTGAGGTCAGATGTGGATGTTGAGGGTGCTC